TACTGGAAAAATTCTTTTTTTTTTAAGTAAATTTAAACAAAAAAAAATGTACACCAGAATTCCATATAAATTCTCTGGAATTCTACAAAAAATCCATGTAATTTCAAGGAAATTTTCTGTAATTGCAAGAAATTTCACAGGAATTCCTCGGAAATTCACAGGAATTTAAAATTTTATAATTTTACCGGAATTCCACAGAAATTCCACATATTTTTGTTTGGAGTTCTACGTCGTACTATCCCTGGAATTTTAATAAATTTTACTGGAATTTTATTTAATTGCACACAATTTTTATGGAATTCCGCATAATTTCCACGTAATTCCGCATAATTTCCACGTAATTTTGCATAATTTCAGTAGAAGTTTGCATAGTTTTTATAGAATATTGCACATTTTCTATAGAATTCCGCAGAAATTCTTTGGACTTTTGTGAAATTTCTTTAAAATTTCGTATAATTTTTATGGAAATCTATACGACTTAAAACCACATAATTTTTATGGGATTTTGATTTTTTTGAAACTCAACGATTTTTTGGAATTCTTTGTCGTTTTCCATTTAATTTCACTAGAATTCCGCATAATTTTAATGGGATTTGGCATATTTTTAATGAAATTCTGCATACTTTTTATAAAATTAGGCATCATTTCCATGGTATTCAGCATAATTTCAATTGAATTCTACGGGATTTCGCATAATTTTTATGGAATTTTGCATAATTTTTATGGAATTCCACATCATTTCTATGGGATTTTATGTAATTTAATTGAAACAACGATTTTTTTGGAATTCTACGCCATTTTCCGCTCCATTTAATTTCACCGAATTTTTGCATAATTTTTATAGAATCTTGCATAATTTCTATAGAATTTCATGTAATTTTTCTAAAATTATTTTTTATTTGGAATTCCACGTCATTAATCCTTTAATTTCACTTGAATTTCGCATAATTTTGATGGAATTTAACATACCTATTTGAAACCCTATGTAATTTCAATGGAATTCCGCGTAAATTTTGGGGAATTTCGCATAATTTCTATGGAGTTTTGCTAAAATTTAAACTTTTTTTTTTGGAATTGTCATTTCTCAGATACTTATTTTATTGAAATTAAATGGAATTCCATGTCATACTTGGAAAGTCCAAATGAAATTACAATATATTTTCGCATAATTTCTATCAAATTTCACATAATTTTAATATAACTACACTATAATTTCGCATAATTTCTTTAACATTTAACATTTTTCATAATTTAAATAGAAGACTGCCTTAATAGCCCATATCTTTGTTAAATTTCAAGCGAATTGAAATAAATCATATATCATTGAAAAGATCATTGAATTCTCTATAAATCTGTGTAAAATTGAGTTTGATAGCTCAAATAGTTTTTGAGCAATTAACCCTTGAATTTGACTTTTAGTCCAAATTTTGTCAAAAACTTTAAACTCAATTTGCTCAAAAACTATAAATCTGAAAATATTGTAAATTACAGGCCATTTAGAGATCAATAAGAGCTACAAAAGCTAGAAATTTCAATGCAATTTGCTCAACGGTTACCAAGCATTTGCGGTATGAATATTTTAAAATCAGAATTCAAAGGGGGTATCTACCCTTATGAAAAACTCGATTTTTTTATTTTCCAGTTTTGCTCAATTTTGACTTTACCAATCGATAGAGCGGGTCAAAATTAGTGGAAAACAACCCAGATATATTATTTCCAAATAGCCATTTTTAGCAGAAAAAATATTAAAAAGGAAATCCTGTTTTTGGCTCTGGAAAGTTTTCAAAATCTTGACATGGTAGTGAGCATTTGCCCATATATATGTTAAATTTCAAGCAAATTCGAATAAATTATATATTATTGAAAAGAGCAATACATTCTCTATAAATCCGTGCAAAATTGAGTTTGATAGGTCAAATATCAGGTATCAAGATCAAGCACGTGATTCCCAGGCAGAGGGTTCACTTATCTCTGGGGTTCACGTCAGTGTCAGTGGCAGATTGTCAGATTATCAGTCTTTTCGAGTAGTTTGTCTCAGTATCAATCCCACAGTATCAGTAAAGTGTCCCATTCACGTTGAGATCAGTATCGATACATGTTTCAATTATCAGTATCTTGATACAAATCTCATTGTGTATTTGTCTGTCTCAGTATCGCTGTATCGGTATCAGATGTTATCGCCGTCTGTATCACTGTACTGAAACTTCGATACCGAACGCATGCAACTGATACTTTGTTTCAACGTGTATGTTGAAGTTTATTATAGCTTTGTTCCAACACAGCAGAAAACCGTACAATGTACAAGTGTACAAATTTGTTCGTAGAATCTGATGGCATTTCCGATTGGTAGATTCAGTGCGCACTGAGTGTATTTGCATCCTTTTAATCAACCTGTAGAAGAAAAAGGCAGAAATAGAAAAAATTGCACTAGTTCCGCACTAGATCTACCAATCGGAAACGCCATGTGAAATTCGTATACTGAGTGCGGTTTCAAAACCGCTCATGGGACGTGTTGGAACAGACCTATTGTATCGCGCTACCAAAATATAAACAGTGTTGTTTCCAACATAGAAGATCGTGAGTTTTGGCGGTTTTGGGAGGAATTTTTGAATTTATATAAATTATATCCATGTTTATGAAACTCGAAATGCGAAGGATATTCAATTAGACAACTTAGAGAGTCGGCAATGACAGTTTTGGTTAACAAGTGCAAGGAAAAACATGCTAATAGTGATGGTAGCTTTGTCGCATAAAAAAATACATAGTTTTGGATGTGCGATGTACAGGGTTATTGGTTATAAATGTCACCCGCCTCTATCTTTTTTATTCGACATTTTAGAAAAAAGTGTTCCAAATAAAAGTTTTATGGTTGAAATTAAGTTTCTTAAAAAACTCACTTTCGCATATACAGGGTGTTACAGAAATGCTGGTCCTGCTCCAAATTTCTTATTTCAAATAGAATATCCTGTATATTATTGGATATTCGGATTCTACGTAAAATTCTGAGCAGATTTCATGTGATATACCCTATACCTAAGTTCAACTGTTTTGGAAATATTGACGGTTGAAAATTAACTTTTTTGCAACTTTGACAGGCTGTAAATCCTAAACGGTTAATTTTGGAGCAAAACCCATCTTACATTTTTATCCTAGATTTTTCTAAACTATCAGTTGACACCAATATTTGACATGAACTTTGAATTTAATCCATGATTGAAAATTCCAATTAAATTTAATCTTCGGTTAAATTCAAAGTTGGTGTCGAATGATAACTTGTGAAAATTTTAGAAAAAAATGTAAGATCGGTTTTACTCAAAAGTTAACCGTTTAGGTTTTACAGCCTGTCAAATTTGCAAAAAAGTCAATTTTCAACTGTCAATATTTCCAAAACAGTTGAACTTAAATATAGGGTATATCACTTGAAATCTGCTTAGAATTTGACGTAGAATCCGAATATTGAATAATATATAGGGTATTCAATTTAAAATAAGAATGTTGGAGCACGACCAGCTTTTTTGAAACACCCTGTATATGTAAAAGTGAGTTTTTCAAAAAAATTAATTTCAACCATAATTTTTTTATTTGGGACACTTTTTTAAAAAATGTAAAACAAAAAAGATAGAGGGGGGTGACATTTATAACCAATAACCCTGTACGTCTCAGTATCACGCAACGTGAATCCCAGGCAGAGGATTCACACCAGTTTCAGAGTATCAGTAATAGCCGCAGATCAGTGTCTCAGAAAAACATCAGGGGAAACAAGGCCCCATCTCAGTCATTAATAAAGTATCTTTCGCGACAATTGCCTTTCAGAATTGTAAAAAACAACCTTCCAGAAGCCTTTTTCAAAATTTCTCAACAGAAATTCTTAACCCAAGCTACAGGGTATGGTATAGTATAATGCAAAAATGGCTTTATTTCCAAATAAACACCCTGTAATAATAATTGAGGTCTAGGATTTTTGGAAAAAAATCAGATAAAGCCTCTGAAAGCCCTAAAATCCTCTATAAAGTCCACCCAATTTCAACTTTTTACAGGATGTATAAAAAAATTGTTGAATATTGAATCTTTCGAGTTCAGAAACCTCTATAGCTTTTAATGGACACCCTGTATAGAAACCAACTTTTGGTATTTTATAGAGCAATTTATTTCCTTTCAGATGTTTTATTTAGAATTTCTCAAAAAAAAAATCTTAAACTCTATGCACAGGGTGTTTTATAAAATAATGCAAAAATGGCTTTTTTTCCAAATAAACACCCTGTAATTGAGGTGTTCAATTTTTGGAAACAATTCAAATACTTAGAGCCTATTAAATTCTCTAAAAAACCCCTCCAATCTCTATTTTATGCAGGATGTTTAATGAAAAAAATTGTTAAAACTTGGTCAGAGGCCTCTAGTTTCTTGTGGACACCCTGTATAGAGACAAAATTTTGGTATTTTATACTTTTCACAGGCTCTATTTGGAGTTTCCCAAAGAAAAATGCTGAACTCAATCTACAGGGTGTTTTATAGAGTAATACACAAATGGCTTTATTTTCAAATAAACACCCTGTAACTGGGGTATTCAATTTTTGGAAAAAAATTGAAATAGAACCACTGCAAGCCTATTAAATCCTCATAAAATCCCCCCAAATTTCAACTGTATACAGGATGGGTGGAGAACGTTTTAAAAAATTGTTAAATCTTGATGCTTTAAAGTTCAGAGCTAGGACTCTATCTTTTCAGGGAGGCACGTTGTATAAGGACAACAACATTTCAAAAATCTATAGAGCAATTCATGGTTTTCAGAGGCCCTATCAAGAATATCTAGGTATATAAAATCAAAAATACATAAAATCAAATTCTATCCCAAGATACAAATCACTAATTATTAAATTACCTATATCACAGATGAATTATGAAAATCTGTATATCGAGCAAGATACACTTATGAATTGCATATCAAACAAAACGATGTTCTATACAGAATCAGGAAAATTAAATTTTATCTTTTTTTCCAGGATACATCACCAAAGAAAAACGTGTGACAAACCCTCATATATTCACGCACATTCAAGGATTACAGTAGGTAAGTACTTCAACTTTCTTATAAAAATAAATAACTTTGAAAAAAAAAAAAGACCTCCAGGATTACAAGGTCCGATTCTGCCACCCACAATAAACACTACTGCCACTAATACCGACAAAGTACCCAAATTGGTCATAAATTCTAACCCCTAAACTTTGTTTCGCCCTCTTTCTTTGACTTGCCATTATTTAATGCTATCTAACGCGACATACCTTTAGGGCTTGTTTGATTCTCCAGAGGAAACATCGATACTTCGCAGAACAAGGGGAAAATCCTGCTTAATATCCCTTGATTGCGATTCTTTTTTTGTTGGTTTAATGTGTTTGCCTTTGTATACTATGAAATGTGTTTTATACAATTTTATCAATTGATGTCTATGTTCTCTAGAGCAAAGAAAAAAAAAATCTTTTCACGTAGTTAATTTGGCCTCATGTGTATATAACCCCCCAACGGACTACTTAAGATTTTGTTCGTGGTAGTAGCCGAAAATTAACGGTTATGTGTGCTGAAAAGTAAGTAATTTTAGGGCGCATATAAAACCATTCTGGCCTATAAATATAAAAATAAAAGGAAGCAATAAATTGATCCTTAACCAAGGGGTTTAGAAAACCGTATCGTGCCCGCCACTAAAAAAAAGGTGACCCCCCCGAAAATAAAATTACCATAACTGCTCACTCTTTCCCGATCATGGTCGATAAATTTCAACCGATATCCAATTGCCTTTAAATTAAGTTTTAATTAATTAATTGCTAGTTGAGGCTCAGGCGCTGTCAGGCGGAAAAGAGTCGATGATTGGGGGCTTTTTTTTTAGGGACAATTTCACGAGCTGACAGACAAACAAAGCAAAAGCAAACAAAAACTGGATCGTGTACGGAAAGGCCCAAGGGGAAGATTTGTATTTTTAGTTTTTTTGACAAATTGCCAAGGGAAATTACGTGGAAACGTATATGTGCGGAAACATTGTGCTTGCGGAGAGATGAAAAATGAGTTGTGAATGAATTAGCCGAGCAAAACTTTTTTAGATTCAAAAATTTTGGAACATTTAAAATGATATAATTGAATGTCGCTGAAGTAATTCTATAATTCGATTTACCGGAAAATCTCTTCAATTATTCAAAATGGTGCTCACAATGTGTCTTTGAAGATTAGATTAGATAACGAGGAAAAACTGCGTGAAAATCCACTCAAAAATTCTCAATTTAGGGGCTTCAAACGTAGGATAGAAGAGTGAGAGTTTAGCAAGGGCGCCACTATATTTTTTGTAAAGATATCAATGTTAGACTGTATTATACTTTAAGTTAGTAGGTATTACATTATAAGTCAATTGATTGAAGTTTTTGGGTGAATTTGCAAATAAAACTGTGAGAGCGTTTTCATACTCCCTTATCTTTGATCTATTATACACCTCCCTCCAAATTTCACATAGGTACCTACCAAAATCATCAAATTTTTTTGGTCTTCGTTTTTGTCTTGTTTGTCTTTCTTCAGGTTCTACATATTCCTATATCTTTGTAGTATTTCTACTTTTCTCTTTCTTTTTCTCAATGCTTACATTGTTTTCCTTAATTTCAGGTATTTTTACCAAAAATTTTGACTTATTAGTTATAATTCTTCTTGGCTTCTTCTTATTTTTCTCTCTGCTTCTTCCTAACTTTCCATGGATAACCAGTTGTGGTATTAGGTTTTTCTTTGAGATAGATAGGTGAAATTTCTTTAAATTTTTTTCCAAATAGTAGTTCTGATGGAGAGTTTCCATATGAAAGTGGTGTATTACAGTAGGTATGCTAATATTCCCAAATAGGGATCTTCACACTTTTTCAACAGTTTTTTCACTAATTGTACCAGCTCTTTCTGCTGAATCATTACTCTGTGGAAGCCTGGGTTAATCTATATATATAAACGTGAAATTCACTCACTCACTGACTGACTGACTGATTAAACACGAAATCTCGAAAACTACTTAACCAATCGAGATGAAATTTTGCAAACAGGTAGGTAATAGGTTGGAGATGCTCACTAAAAAATAATATCAACATGGCCTCAAGCAATCGCCCTAAATAACCAAAAATAAGAAACGGTGTGGTGCGGGAGTGCGAGGAATAAAGTGTAAACAGAAACCAATGAACTATAGCCAAAAACTGGAATGCGCGCATATTGCCATATCTGCCCAAAAAATGAAGCCATGAAAGACAGATGCCACAAGGGGGAATGTTGTTTTTTTCTGTTGCTCGCTGACATATGATGTTTTCGAAAGTTTTGTCATATTTTCCTTCACAGGTTTCATCAATTGGAATATGTGTTGGAAGCAATTTTCGCCATTTAACATAATGAGTGCGACAAAAACAGGTATCCCCTCCGCAGCAGCTGCACTAGGCTTCACGTTCTTCCTTATGTGTTAGCATTCCAGTTTTTGGTTATAGTTCATTGACAGAAACAGACGACGTGTCAGCTGTCAAATTCAGAAATATGACAAGCAGAATCAAATTCATAGCGATTTCCATTTGCAGAATCAGTGCAAAAATAAATGTGTTTTTATCGTTATACTTTCATGCTTTCACCAGAAACGATTCGGAACCGATTTTGAACAAATTCCACCGGTGCCAGGCTAAGCTAACTTCAAGTTTGAAACATGACATTCGCAATTCGTTCAGGTATTCGACAGTCTGGAGCAAGGTTCTGCAGTTTTTGTTCGGTTCCAAAACTGTTCGCGATAAAATAGGAACCTGAACCCATTCACAAGTTGGGTTCGGGTTGCTCACTCCGAGTTACTCCGATCGCACTCCAGCCGTTATCTGATAAGCTAAAGTCTGTTTTTTTTTAAAGATAATTCCCCAAGTCAAAAATTTATTAACTATGTTGGCAACACAAGCCTGGAATGCGAACACATATTGACGAACGTGAAGCCTAGTGCCGCTGCTGCGGAGGGGATACCTGTTTTTGTCGCACTCATTATGTTAAATGGCGGAAATTGCTGCCAACACGTATTCCAATTGATGGAACCTGTGAAGGTAAATATGACAAAACTTTCCAAAACGTCATATGTCAGCGAGCAACAGAAAAACACAACATCCCCCTTTGTGGCATCTGTCTTTCATGGCTACATTTTTTTGGCAGATATGGCAATGTGTGCGCATTCCAGCTTTTAACTATAGTTCACGTGCGTTTTTATTCTCACCGATGTGCTCATCGATTAAGCGAAAATGTCAATTGGCTGTTTTTATTCTCATCAGTAAAACATCGATGGATTTCATCGGTCTGTTTTTATTCTCATCCTACACTTATCGGTGAAAGTACGATTAGCCATCGAATTCATCGAAGTTCATTTAGGATGAACTGATGAATTATAACGTAAAATGTAACCTCAAAATTATGTTGACGGTTGTTGATGGCCGACTGGCATCGTTTTGTTTTGCATTTATATTTATTATGTGAAGATTTGCGAAGACCTTAACAAAAAAAAAAGGAAAAAGGGCATGTTCAAGTGATCTGAAGGGTGTGAAAACCGAGACCATACCAAACCTAAGAGTTCTGAGCATAAGAGCGCCAAATTACCTAACTTTGTGACAAGTGAGAAATATATCTGAAATATCAAATCAAACTTAATTTGTGAGGTCTTAAAGCTCAGCTAACTGTCTCAGAGATAATTTTATTTCTAATATCTCACCTCCACTACAGTCCTAGTAAGTCTAAAATGAGACTTAACAACTAAATCACCAGGGACACTTTATCCGTTAGGACAATTAGGTCATGTCCTACGGGCCACTAGAGAATGGAGGCCAACTGCTGGCCTTTAATTTATAATATAAAATATAAAAGCCCACTATACTAAAAACATCGACTTGTTTAATAGCAGGACTAGCATAAATTTCAATACTCTTTAATTCTCATAATTCACACTGCACAAGCATATTTGGTTTGGCCAGAGTGCACTGCCTGACGTCACGAAGCTCTGGAATCGCTTCGCTCGCTCCATCGAGCATCAATCCGGAACACGCCCTAGAGTCACTGAGCTGCGCTGAATCGCCGTCATGTCATTAGCGCAGCTCTGGCACGTGGCAACTGGCAACGACTACAGCAGAAACCTGTTAGTGTTTGCGCTACTTTGCCAAATTGTAAGTTTCTTTGAGCTTCTTCTGGAGCATCCAGGGACTTGAGCAGTATCTTAAGGGTCCAGTGTACCACGAAGTCGTGCCTTGTTGTTGTTGAGCTTGTAGGACATGCACAGGCAACGTGGTCAGTGGCGACGCCAGGGGTGGGCCCGAGGGGGCCGGGGCCCCCACTGAAATGTAGCTGGCCCTCCCTGAAAACTTGCTCTAATGTCGGCAACAATGCAATGCAACATGCAGCCTCTCCCGGTTAAATTTGGTATTCGGTAAGCACAGGCCAAGAATCGTAAATTAACAGGATTGCTCATCCTCATAAGGGCGGGTATTATAAAACTACTTTGAGAGTTAACTTAAAGTTAACTTCTTGAATTACATGTAATTCAAAAAGTTAACTGCAAGTTAACTGTCAAAGCAGTTTTATAATACCCACCCTTAGTCGTACTTTTGCCAATTCTCGAGTCGGCAGGGCCTGCGAGTGACGCCACTACTAGTTAGCAGCATAGCAGGATGACGATACTGTTGTACACTCGGCTAATGCATTTTTCGACAAGTATGAGGTCTTTGGCTGAAATGGTAGACATTTTCAGTTCAATAAGCAGTCCTATTAGGTTGAGTTTTCTTGTGCACTGGCTGCGACGCTGCTTTCGCTTTTCTAGGATTCCCCCAAACATATTAGTATCGACAAGTCGGTACTTCCCATTTTTTATTCCAAAGAAGAGAAGCAGTTAAATAAAAACAAGTGCCCCTCCCCCATAAATATTTCTGACCCAGTCTGGCTCCCCCTAACATGAAACCCTGGCGCCGCCACTGAACGTGGTACGAATTTTTCTCAGAGTTGCAACCGTTTATGCATCTTTTCCTCGCTAATGGATTTGATCCCAAGCCATGCAGCTG